TGTGTGTGTGGCTGAAACAAGAACAAAGGATAAAGAAAACAATATTAGAATTATGATATATAAAACGTATACATAAATAACTTACATTAATAACAAATAATATATGAACTATCTATAACAAACAAACACAGGGAATACTGAAATGGTCCAGCGGTCTTTGGCGCCCTCTATAGGATTAATAGCGCCACTGCACTGCTGCAGCCGCCGCGTGCTTACTACGGCTTAATTGGTGTCGGGTTACACTCGGCTATAATAGCGAAGATACGACGGACACCCGACAGACCTTGCAAACCTTACGGAACGGCGAACTACACAGATGTACTATACATATATAACACTAAAACACAGGAAACACTTGGCACAGCAATGATATAATAACATCACACAACTACTCACTTGAACGCACACAGAAAACACCACACAGGGAAAAAACAACCAGTGCTGCGGTGAAACTCAAGGGAAAAAACAAACGGGAAGTGACATCATTAGTGACGTCAACAACGGACATTACAAAATAAAATAATCGTATACATTTAAAGACTTTCCGACAAGGCCGCCCCCAAATTTAGCAATAAATTTGAAGAATAAAGGAAAGTCTGACTCAGCTGGAGTTCTCTTCATCTTCCCAGGCCGGCAGCCGCACCAGGCGCGCTACTGGACGCAGATAAGTCTGTCCTTTAATTGTCACTTCAGCTGCCCTGACTCGGCCATCCGAGCCTGAACAGGTCTTCACCACACGGCCTATGGGCCACTGAGCCCTTGGTAGCTGTGACTCAACCACCATCACCACTTGACCAATGGTGAGATTGTCAGTATCCTTGTGCCATTTGGACCGCTTCTGAAGGTCGGGAAGATGTCGTTGGATGAAGTTGGTCCAGAAGTGGTCTGCCAGAATCTGACTATGACGCCATCTTCTCTTGCTGAGGAGATCACTGGATGCATAGATGGCCTGTGGGAGTGATGCGTCACGAAGTCCCATAAGAAGGAGGTTCGGTGTGACCGGGTCTGGGTCAGCAGCATCCGAGGAGATGTATCCCAACGGCTTGGCGTTGAGTAATCCTTCCACTTCGATTAACACAGTCTGCAGCACAGGTTCTGCCACAGTCTGGTCTCGGAGCACCACTTGGAGAGCTGCCTTGATGGACTTAATCTCTCTTTCCCATGTCCCCCCAAAATGAGGACAACCAGGAGGGTTGAAGCGGAATTCAATCTTCTGTCCTGCCAGCTGTTCTTGGAGAGGTGCTTCCAGAGCAGCAAAGCTGGCCTGCAGTTCAGCAGCTCCGCCTCTGAAGTTGGTTCCTCTGTCAGCCAGGATCTCGAATGGCTTGCCACGGCGGGCGATGAATCGGCGGAGGGCCATCAGGAAAGCATCAGTGTCTATGCTTTCAAGGAGATCAAGGTGCACACAGCTGGTCGTCATGCACTTAAAAATCAGCCCCCACCTCTTCTCTGTCCATCGGCCCACCTTGACATTGTACGGGCCAAAGCAGTCGACTCCAGTGGACCAGAAAGGGGGCTTGTACAGACGGAGTCTAGCGGGGGGAAGATCTGCCATCTGAGGGACCACTGGAGTAGCACGCCACTTCTGACATTCAACACAGCTGTGCTGATGGCGTTTGATAGACTCTCGTCCTCGCAGGATCCAGTATCTCCTCCTGAGCTCCGCAAAGACTCGTTCAGGACCAGGATGAAGGAGGTCGCTATCATACTTCTTAATGAGCAACTTGGTGACATAGTGCTTAGGATCAAGGATGAGAGGGTGAATAGAGTCTGGGTCGAGGTCTTCTGCTCTACGGAGTCTGCCTCCCACTCTCACCAGACCAACAGCTGCATCATACTCTGGAGCAAGCATGACCAAGCAATTCTGTCTAGAGATCGGCTTACTAGCGGCAAGAGTGTCCACCTCCTCAGGGAAACTGTCTCTTTGGGACTGTTGGAGAAGGTGTAGTTCTGCTGCCAGAACGTCACCTGCTGTCATCGCAGGACTGCTGCTATCGGAGGCCGCCCCGTGAAGGCTCTCATGAGTGGCTTTGATGAGACTGTCCCAGTTGTCAGGGATGGGCGTGGGCGGAGGGCAGGTAGTAGTTCCACAGAACACTGGTTTCCTCAGTTCTTCCTCTTCTTCTTGGGCTTCTTCTACATGAAACACTGGCCAGGAGTCTGGATGTTGCCGGAGAAAATGAGGGCCTTGACTCCATCGGTTGGGCTGGCAAAGTTCATGCAGTGATCTACCGCGGGTGAGGTCATCAGCAGGGTTGTCAGTTGTGTTGACATATTGCCAGTTGCAGCCTTCAGTGAGCTCTTGAATTTCTGCAATTCTGGTGCCCACGAAGACCTTGTACCTGCATGAGTCTGATTTCAACCATGTCAGAACTGTGGTTGAGTCAGTCCAAAGTGTGATCTGCTGGGGAGAGAGTGACAGTTCTGTCATGGTAATCTTGGCTAACTGTGCTCCGGCAAGGGCTGACTCGTGACCGAGCCATCACAAATGCCGCATGGACACAGCCGTGTTGGTCTTGAGTGCAAAGGTACTCGACAGCACCGTAGGCTCTTTCAGAGGCATCACAGAAAACATGTGCTTCTCGTTTTGGTGTGTCTGAGTCGGCAGCCGGTGGAATATAGCATCTGGGGATCTCCACTTGTGAGAGATGGACTAGTTCACTCTCCCATTGTAACCAAAGGTCCAACAGAGCTTCTGGTTGGATAGGGTCATCCCAGCCAACTCCCACTTTCCACAGGTCTTGAATGATAATCTTAGCCCGGGTGGTGAATGGGATAAGATAATCGAGTGGATCATACTGTGTTGCCATAACCCTGTAGACATTCCTCAGAGTTGGCTGTGGATACTCAACTGGACGGTAGCGGTAACCAAGGTGATCTGTGAGGCAGTTCCAGCGGAGGCCCAAGGCTGCCTCTTCTGGGTCTTGTCTGTGTTGAGAGAGCCACAGTTCAGTGCTGGTTGCTTTAGCTTCCACTGGGAGATGTTCCACAACTGAGGGAATGTTGCTGGCCCACTGCCTTATGTCGAAGCCACCAGTTGAAAGCAGCATGCGCATGCCATCGATGATGGTCTTAGCTTTATCAGCACTGGCAAGGCTGGTCAAACAGCTGTCAACATAGAAGGCCGTCTCCACCAGATGCAAGATGTCCTCATGATCTTTACTGTTGTCCTTCACATGCCTTTGGAGGGCATACGTGGCACAGCAGGGACTACACGTTGTGCCAAACGGTAGAACTTGCCACTCGTACACTGTAGGCTCTTCCTCCCTCTGCATGTCTCTCCATAGGAAACGGAGAAGGGGCTTGTCTTCTGGTAGCAGGCGTACCTGGTGAAACATCCCTTTAATGTCACCGCTTATAGCCACACTGTGTTCTCTGAAGCGGAGAAGTACACCAAGTAAGGAAGGGCTTAAGGTCGGACCGGGTAGGAGCTGGCTGTTCAGGCTCTGTCCGTTGTGCTGATAGGAACAGTTGTAGACAATCCTAGCCTTGCCATTGTGATGGACAACATGGTGGGGCAGATACCAGGACTCAGTAGAGCTGTCTACTGTGTCAGCAGGCAGGGGGATGGCATAGCCGGACTGTTCTAGTTTCTGTATTTCCTGACAGTAAGTGTCTGCCAGGGCAGGATCTTTAGCCAAGCGGTGCTCTGTGCTCCGCAGCTGTGGGAGCAGAGTGTTCTTTCGGTACCCAAAGACTGGGGCTTGCTTTGCGTCTGAGCAGTGGTGTGGCATATCTTAACACTCCATCTACTTCCATTTTAACAGTTCGTTGCTCTAACAGTTCTAGGGCCTGCTGGTCTTCTTTAGAGCGGGTGGCAGTCTTGGTGTTGGCAAAGGGCAGAATGTCTACTTGCCACAGACGTTCAACATGTCGCTGCAGTTCAGAGGTGGGAGACATAGTGAAGTAGCAGTGTGGGATGTCAGCAGGCTGAGGGCTCAGGTTGGCTGGGCCCTGGAGCGCCCACCCTAGAGCAGTGTACACGGCTAAGGGACTCCCAGGAGGACCTGCTCGAACTGGTTGCTTAGGAATGAGAAGATGTGGGAGATCAGAACCAATGAGGAGTATGGGTTGAACCTTGTCAACTAGTGGCAGTGGAAGTTTCTGCAGGTGGGAATACTTGCGTTGGAGTTACTTGACAGGGTAAGTGTGTTCAGACAGGCTCAGCTCATCAGCAGTGAAGGCATGATGGATGGTGTACCTTGACTTGGGAGAATGAGCTGGGGAGATGTCAAAGGAGACAGCAGCTCCCTGAAGGTGGATCACCTCCTGGCAAACGGTGCATAGAGGAAGGCTCTCAGGCTCTGTGGTTAAGTGGAGGTGTCTGACTGCAGAGGGAAGGATGAGGGTTCTCTCAAATCCATCGTCAAGGATGGCAAAACCTTCAAGGGAATGCTCTGCCTTGTAGAGGCGTACCTTCACCAGCTTGAGCATGACTCTTTGTGGACGACTAGGGCGGTCAACATAGACGATATCTGGAGTTGTTCCTACCATGAGCACCTTCTTGGGTTCAGGTTGACTCACATCATGGAGAATGGTGAGGTGTAACTGCTTGCAGGTGTTACATAGCTTCTTCAGAGTGCATGTCTCAGGTGTGTGGTTCCTGCCACATCTCCAACAACCTCAATCTTTAATCCAAGCAGCAACTTCTGCAGTGGAGAGTGACTTGAACTTGGGGCACAGGCTGAGGTAATGCTCTCTGGTGTCACAGTATGGGCAGTAAGGCTTGACAGTAGGTCTGGCTTTGGGAGACTTACTGTGGGGTGGAGCTGGAGGAGTCACCCCGACTTGAACCTCTGTGCTGTAATACACGTTGAAGGGATGGCTCTGAGCTTTCTTCTGGCTCTTCACCGGCTTTGGCGGATCCTGGAACATGAGAGCCGCTCGGGAGGAGATTCGCTTAGCCTGTGACTTCAACTGCAGCCAGGTAGAAAAATCAGGCAGAGTGTAAGTTTTATCAGTGCCCGTTGTGAGGATGCCGTGGCTAATGCTGTACTCCACGAAACCATCTCTGTAGTTAGCAGGTAGCTTGCTGAGCAGCCTGTCGACATGAGATCCACATCTCAGCTCATAACCATTTTCTCCCTCTAGAGATCGAAGCATGCCCACTAAAGCCTGTACTGACAGGGCAAAGTTGTCAAAGGCTTCTGGGTCTCCAGCTCGGATGGGTGGTGAGTTCAAGATGGCGCTTAGCTCACTCTGCACAAGCTGGTGTGGCTGTCCATATTTATCTTGAAGCGCCTGGAGAGCGGATGTGTACGGCCTGGGGTCGTGCATGTAGGCTTGGGCTAGTTTGTAGGCGCTGGGCAGCTTCAAATAATCAAGGAGGACTTGGTATTTGAATTGTTCAGTGAGATGGGCATGGGCATTGAGTAAATTGTCAAGAGCCATCTTGAGTAGGGCAAAGTCTGATTCTTTCCCAGAAGTGAAATGGGGTAAGGCTGGCCGAGGAAGTCCATAGGACGTGGCAACTAATAACTCCAGCAAGTCTGTGCCAGGTGCTGCTCTGAGGCCTGGAGGAGGACCTGTCACCTGGGGAGGGATAGATGGCAGGGCAGGATAAGGCAGCGTGTTCACAGCCTGTGGCATTGGCTGGGATGGAGGAGAAGGCACATGCTGGACTTGGGCGTGGCTGCGGATCATCTGTGCTTGGTTGAATGGAGCAGTATATGGCAATTAGGAAGGTGATGCAGCATGCTGTATGAGGGCACCCACCGTGTGGCTATGACGTGGTAGTGGACTAGGGTTGGCGACTGGAACAACAGGAGGGATGGTGATGGCAGAAACACGGTCTTGTATAGCAGCAGCTAGGATTGGTGAGGGACTAGTAGAGACAGGAGGCTTGACTGTATATATATTGACTGGAGGAGGAGCTTGGGTGACAGGAGTAGAGTGGAGCATATCAGGGGGACCCTGTGAGCGTGGTGGTAATGGCTGGGCTGTGGATGGGAGCCTCAGGTTGTACTCACTTACACTGAGGGGCCTGGAGTGGGGTGGACTCTTTGTCTCCTCTTCTTTCAGGAAGGAAGTGATAAGAGCAGCTTTCTCTACTTCCATCTCTTTCTCCTTCAGTCTGCGTTGCAGTATTTGCTGTCTGGTGATAGCCTCTTTGGTCTTATACGCAATCTCCGCTTTCTCCTCTAGTCGACGTCTCTGCTGCTCTTGCTCTCTGAGAAGCTCTTCTTTCTCATGCAAGGCCTCTCGTGCTTGCTGGTCTAGTATAGGCACTGCTCATCCACCAGTGTCTGCTCCATGACTTGCCTCTGTGCCTCTGCTAGCTCCATGCGCTTCATCCTCTCCTCCAACATGGCATTCTGCAGCTCTGACAGCGTCTTAGTAAGAGATCTCTGGGATAGTGAACGAGCACTGGCTTGGGATCTGGCTGTACTGTGGTGAGAAGCTACTGAGCCTCGGCGTGACTGTATTCTCACAGGCAGTTGTGGCGAAGGTGATCTAAGCACAGTGAGCTCTGGGGCTGCTGCTCCATCCTCAGCTGTAGGTACTGGTGCAGGCTGGGTAGATGGATCTGTAACTGTGGGATGATATCCAACTGCAAAGTCATCCAGGTGTGAGGGTAGCCGTCTCTCCCGCTGGGGTCTAGGATGCACTGCTGGGTCTGTAGGCAGTTGTTGTGACTCCATGTTCTCTGCAAATCTCTATCCCATCCGGCTCGAAGGACCATGTGATAGAGTGGGACACTCTGGTGTTTGCTGATCTGATAGGAATTTGCGAGAGGGGCTCCGGTCAGAGAGTGGGCACGGAGAGGGCTGCTACACCAATGATCTTTATTGCAGATTTGTAGTTACAGGTTCATGTTGGCAAGGCAAGGTTATGGGCACGTGATTGGATTTGGATGGAGGTGTGTGTGTGTGTGTGTGTGTGTGGCTGAAACAAGAACAAAGGATAAAGAAAACAATATTAGAATTATGATATATAAAACGTATACATAAATAACTTACATTAATAACAAATAATATATGAACTATCTATAACAAACAAACACAGGGAATACTGAAATGGTCCAGCGGTCTTTGGCGCCCTCTATAGGATTAATAGCGCCACTGCACTGCTGCAGCCGCCGCGTGCTTACTACGGCTTAATTGGTGTCGGGTTACACTCGGCTATAATAGCGAAGATACGACGGACACCCGACAGACCTTGCAAACCTTACGGAACGGCGAACTACACAGATGTACTATACATATATAACACTAAAACACAGGAAACACTTGGCACAGCAATGATATAATAACATCACACAACTACTCACTTGAACGCACACAGAAAACACCACACAGGGAAAAAACAACCAGTGCTGCGGTGAAACTCAAGGGAAAAAACAAACGGGAAGTGACATCATTAGTGACGTCAACAACGGACATTACAAAATAAAATAATCGTATACATTTAAAGACTTTCCGACAAGATGAAACACATAATGAATGTTCACTACAAATCAATTCACAACAACTGTTTTCTATATTCTGTGCAGGTACGTAAGGTACAAATGTTTCATGTTAATGTACATCTGGTTATATTCTAAGTGCGTTGCACATTACAGATAATAAAATTAATAAAAATGTGACAGACAGGCAAATTACATTGAAGGTACAGATATAAATTGCCCGTTGGAAAAAAAAAATGCACACAACTGTCAGCTGAGCAATAAAACAGCTACACATGAGTGAATTAATTTTTGTCCACACAATTTCACAGCCACGTGACCTCATCGAGTTTAGTAAGTGCAGGTGCGGCGGGCACCAGGAGATGGCGCTAGTTCACAATTTAGCAGGATTTAACAACGCTCATAATAACTATGTTACACTAGCGTTAGCCTAGCCGCTCCCGTTCATTTCAATAGGAGCTGTTAGCCTGCTAATTTAACTACAGTTTATGTCTTTTTCTTCCAAATACGTCTTTGATTTGCAATGACACCAAAAGCCAAAAGTCCAAACCTTATTCCCGTGGGAGTAAACTTGTGTTAAAGATGTTTATTGTGTTTTTAAGTGATCTTATTAATGAATGTTGTTCTCATTGAAACTCACGGTGCTAACTAGCATGCTAACGTGACACTAGCATCAGGATCCGCAGCGGATCCGCTTTCGCTCCGCGCGCGGTCCGCTGCGGATCCGCTGCGGATCCGTTCCGTATTCCCTTTCTGACTGTTGCTAATCCTAACCCTTGGATGAGCTGCTGTTACAGAGAGAATCTGCGGTTAAATCATCTTAGACCCGCACTGTGAACGCACTTTTAACACATCACTTGTTAGATTTGTTCTGTTAATGCGCAGATCCGCGGCTAAACCGGTTCAGATTCGCTGCGTGGACGCGTCACTGACTCATGAGCCGTTATCAGAACCTGAGAGGAAAGAAACAACATCCACCTGTTGTCCGCGGATTTAACTGTAAGTAATAGTTTAAAAGTTAATTGTATTAGTCATCATTAATGTACATAACGTGAACGTTAGATTGTGGTGTGTGTACATCTGTGACTGTGTGTGTTTTATCAGTTTTGACGAGTGCAGTAGTAATAAAGTTCTCGACAGGAGCAGCTGACGTGATGAAGACGATGTGAGGTCAGGAGTCTGGACAACTCCATCTCTTGAGGTAGATCCCAGTCTAAATACTATTTTTATATAACGCTACTTATATTCTTGTATATTTTTACGATCACAGAGTTGTAATTCTGCTCCGTGATCATTGGTCGTGTCTAACGGGCTCGGTTCTGGCTGGACGCCGCTCTCGGTGCTCTGCCTTCGGCTGTGGAGCGACGGTGACACCGGTGTCTGATCGGGTTGTTTAACCACAGATCATTATTATTTGTGTAGACTAAAGTGTTGACTGTTGAGTTGAGACTAAAGTGCAGTCATGTCAGTGCATTAATACAATAATTTAATGTAATAAAAAGCACAACCTTTAACAAAAGCTAACATTAGATAATCAACCAAAACTTATGTTGTTTTTCCCCAGATGACATCAGGAGTCCCTGTCCTTCTGCTGAGTGTCTCCATCAGGAGCCCTTCACACTGATCAGAGGTCAGTACTTTTAATGATTTCTGTGACAGTGAGGATTTAGTTTAGAGTCAGATCTGACTTTGTCTCTAACTTTCTGTTATGGGACTTGAGACGGGGCTTCAGGCTTTCGGTGACATGTTGACATGAACACTAATGTGTCACATCTAAATGACACCGATATTGACCATGAACACCATCATAAATTGATTATTATATTTTAAATGTTGTGGTAAAAGTAAATGTAGTAGAGTATTGTACATTAACAGCAGTGAAATACGGAGGCGCGGCTGATCCGCTGCGTATCTGCGCGGCGGATCAGTTGCGGATCCGTGGCGATGTGCAAGTGAACTCCGTTGCGGATCCGTTCTGCCGATAATTTTTGCTATGTGGGACACCTTATGTGAACACTTTAGAAATGTTTTGTACTGTTTACTCATCGGCTGCTGCTTAGTTACATCAACAATGATGCACTTTATTGAATCAAATTCAATTATATGACAAATATTATTTATGTATTATAATTAGGGCTGTGCAAAAATATTGAAATATTGATATATCGTATCGATATCGTGGTCTGCTGTATCGATATATTACCAAGAGTTTTTTTTTTTTTGGTTTATTTTACTACATTATTTTGTTACAGAGCTACACACCGCAAAAAAACAAAATCGAGTCAAGTTCAGACGACTTGGATTAAGAAAGTTTGATCATGATTTGAGTACATTTCATTTGACAAGTAAAATAATCTGCCAGTGCCAATCTTAAAATATGAAAATACATCTGCTGCACTTAAATAAGAAACAGAATCGAGTGTTGCTTGAATGAATAAAAACACTTCTTCCTTTGGCAGATCATTTTACTTGTCAAGTTGAATCGACTCATCCATCCATGTTCTTCCTCTGATCCGGGGCTGGGTCTCGGGGGCCTCAGTCTAAGCGGAGTCCTCCAGGGACCCCGAGACGTTCCCAGGCCAGTCCAGAGACATAGTCCCTCCAGTGTGTCCTGGGTTTTCCCCGGGGCCTCCTCCCGGTGGGACGTGCCCGGAACAATCGACTCAGATAAAGTCAAATGTTCTTCATTTCAGATTGAACTTTACACATTAACACTTTAACTTGCCTCGATATTTACTTTCTGCAGTGCAGTTTAGTTGTTTGTTCAGAGGAAGAAAACGTTTTTATGCAACACATTGGACATTTTCACTGTTTTGAGGATTAAAATTGGCATTTTTCATATGAACTTTGCACCAGAAGTGATTTAACAAAGACTTTTAGTATCACACACATGATTTAGACTTTATTATTTTTTATTGAACCGTATCGAATCGTTTTGAAATATATCGTATTGAATCGAATCGAATCGAAAGTGCACTGTATCGAGATATGTATCGTATCGTGGCCTGTATCGTATCAGCAACTTCTTAATGTTACCCAATGTGCTATGAACTGACCTGTGAATAATATTATTACAAGTTTTTAGCACTGGGATCATTGATGTAACTCGTACATGTGTATTCATTGGAGCTTTGGTCCTTTCTACAGGTTTCTCCGCTCGACTCTGGATGACGAGCTGACGGAGCAGACCTAGAGCCTGAAAAGACTGAACTCGACTGAACTCGGCTGGTGGATTGATTCCTCTCGTTCCAGGGCCGGTAGGGGGCTCCTGCAGCCCAGATAAACTCACCCCACACACTGTCAACCCCACTGTCACTTTTTTTTTTTTTTTAATGCATTTATTTTGGGCAAGTAAAGATTTACATTCACATACAATGGGACATATAATAAAAGTGAAATCATAATAGAAATGAAAATAACAACAAAAAATTTACAGTTATTATTATTTTGCACATAAAGGAGTGGGAAGAAGAAAATGTATTTAATCCCACCCCTACTCTTCATAATCTAACACAATGAGCTTCTTTTGCGTTTTTCAGACATTTTGAATTAAACTATGTGAACTATTTACAAGTGCAGGCAAAGAGACACTGCTGTAGTTTGGTAATAGAACATAACTGGGTCTGGTCAAGCAGTAACGGAGGGAAACAGGGTCAGATTTTTGACATTTAAATGTCTCTTATTCAGAAACTAGAGGGACTATTGAAATAAGTAAAGTATCAGAATGTAGGAAAGAGTTACACTCCAACAGGGTCAAGTTAAACCTGTGATATTCTTTCAAGTTCAAGACAAAAAATGTAAAAACTCATGTCGGTAACGGAGGGAATGAAATATGCAGCACTTTTTGGTCAATAAATCCAAACAGTGATAACTCTTGGTTCTCACTTCCATATCCTTAACAAACTGGTTTGAATATTGGCTTCATATAGTTTTCTACCATATGGTACAAGATTAGGTTGAAAAACCTCGACTTTTTGACTCATGAGATTTTTTATTAAGAAAGTTCATGGTAACGGAGGGAAAAGTAACGGAGGGAAAATTGTACAAACAAGTAGAAGGTGCAGGATTTTACATCATTTGTCGCTTTTTTCTTCTGAATATTTTAATATTACTTCAAAATGAAAGGAAACTATTTCTATAAAATATGTCAGTCCTTCCAAGAACATTTTTATCATTTTAAATACATCTGAAAAATCATGTCCCTTCATCAACAGTTCAAAGATGGAATAACACAAG